GGGTTAAAAGATTTTTTACAAGATAAATATATTTTTTTATGTAAGCCATGTGTTAACCACGAAAGGTCATTTTGTCCTAATAAATTTGTAAGAACTAAATTCTTACTCATATTGTAATAGAGATATCTCTCTTTTTTTTTTAATACAAAAAATAGATATACAAATAAATCACTCTCAATCCGTCAAAGAACATTGTCCCTCAACACCACACAGTTATTTGTAAGAGACTTCACCACACCTACATCAAAACCGAAGCTAAGATCCCACAACATGCTCTAGACGCTGAAAAGTATGTTGAAGCTCGCTGAAGAATATGTTTTAGCCTCAACAAACTGTCGTAATTATAGAGACTTGAACCAAAACATTGAGCGACGAAATCTAAGTTCTTACATCTAGGCCAACAGCTCGTTGATCAACAGAGGCATCCCTCTAAACATTCATGAAATTGAGAAAAATTTCTCTCTCTCTCTCTCTCTCTCTCTCTCTCTCTCTCTCTCTCTCTCTCTCTCTCACACACACACACACACACAATCAGTCATAAACAAAGAATAAGGTATTATTGCGCTTGAAATTTAATGACTATATTGTTACATGGGATTGATCTGCTTTCTATCCCAAAGAATAGGCAATATTGCACATACACTTAGATAGGGCTGTACCTAATTATATTGGCAGTTACAAACTTGAATTACATCTACAAACTAAGCACACAATACCTCTTGTTCTCTCGCCGGATATGGAGGAGGTAACAAATCCTTCGAATTAGCAAACATTTCTGTACAACCAGAAGGTGCATCGGTAACTGGTGAATCCAAAACAGAGTCTGGGATGGCCACCAGTGTCTCCTCGAGAAAAGATTTGACCGTCTACAAGGTTCAGAAACCACATGAACAAAACTAAGCCCAGGTAAGGTAACTCACTCTGCCCACTCCCACCCAGAAACCCAAGAAGAGAGGAAAGACAAAATAGATATAAATATTCCATACATATGGAAACAACTAATGCCACGAGTCCATAGAAATCAAGTGAGAGCCAACAAAAAGGAAGATGGAATTCTTGCCATAGCTATAGCCATTCGAATTTTCTGCCATTAAGCAGGTAGCAAGACCATCAAACATTATACTCCTAGATCTCTATCTTCTAAAACTCCAAATCTAATTGGAGAGTAGGATACAGGTAAATCATTGAAGGCAGAAGTCACTGGTGCTTAGACTGCTTACGCTACTCCATTATATGTTCTTACCTACAAGCTCAGAGGCATCCTTCAAGGTTTAGATAGCCTTTGATTGATATTATAAAAGGCTAATGTAGCCAGCTAATTATGAAAAAAATAGCTGTGCTTTCAAGAGACATCGTCTATTTATATAAGTAGTTTTACTTCTATACAAAAGTTGACTTCCTTTTCTTTTTCTTTGAGAACTTCAAGCATATATTGACTTTACAATACTTGTTTTTGTAGATATGAAATATAAACAACATCCACCTATTATTTGGCCACCACCTCTAAATGAGGTTATCTCTAGCTTCATTTTCTATAATTTGAACATGTATCTCACCTTTTGTCAGAGACCAGTATAGTCCCTGTTGGTTTGCTCATAATAACAGGAGAAAGAACTCAAATCGTTTTTATTAACCACGCCCACAAAAGATTATAAAAAACCATCAATTAAAAATTCAAAAGAAAAAAAAAATAATTAATCCCTTGAAATAAGTTTAGGTATTTAATTCTTTATATTCATGCCACTTCAAAATTATAGCAGATAATCCTAAAAAGGGAAAAATAATGAGTCAGAACTCTTCCTGCAATAGCTGTGGGCAGAAAGAACTTGCAAGCAAACCTTAAAAAGAAAATAACTACCTGCTAGTTCTCTGGCTAATCAACGGCCTTCAAAAGAAGTCCTTATATAAAGGTAATGTTAAGCTACTCTGTTTATAGGCCTACTATCCAAAGCCGCACCAACATTCTTGAGGATTTCAAATTGCCATATTTCATTGACCGTAACAAAAGAGGGAAACCATTGGTGGGGTATAAACTAAGAGACATTATCCCCAGGATCTAGATCAAGAAAGAGACCACAAGCCACCAGATACAGCACTCATTTGAAGACGGCACTTTGTGAATCCAGCCATTGGGTAACTTCTATGAAATTAAAATAGAACACTACCAAACATTGATATTACATACCGTGCTGTTTCGGAAAGCAGCATCAGCTTTGCGCTTCCACAGACCATTTCCAGGCTCTGAATGAAAAAGACCAAGCAAAGGCTGCAGTAGACAAAGAGAATCTCAACATTAGTAACCTTATCACATCTAAGATTAGGAGTAATACAATTCAAAATAGTAGGATCCAACAGGTAGACACAAAAGAAACCACTAATATAGCAGAACACTGACGGAAGCATTGATGGTCTCCATAAGTAGTGTGTGCATATGCACGTGTGACATTGTGTATGTGTGAATGAGAGAGCGCATGAAAAAGAGTGCGTGGTGTGTGACTCTACAGGGGCAGATCTTCCTAGGGTGGGTTACTTAATTTTTTTCTAATCGATAAAATTAAGATGACACACTAATTTTTACCATTATATTTTATACTTAAAAATATTCACTAAACATAAAAGGGCAAAAACCGTTATAAATCTTTTATGCGACCAAAAAACAGATAAAAAAAGACTATTTACAATCATTTATAAAAATAAAAATAAAAAAGAGGCTAATTAAAATCATTTACATTTTTTTTTGGGATAAGAAACAATGATTTCATTAAAAACCAAAAACTATAAAGGACATATCATAGTTGGACAAGACATCCAAAAACTAAGATATGAGAACAAAAACAACCCATGCATGCATTACATTCCACATGTAGTAGTCCAACTCGAAATAATGCAAGAAAGACGGATATCTTCAAACTCTTTAGCCACGGAGGCCCAAAAGAAAGCCAAAAAGTAAAGTCGTTCCCATAGTTCTTCAACCTCCTCATATTCGTCATCAAAAATCCTTGCATTTCTTTCCAACCAATCACCCAAACAATAGCATTACAAACACAACACCAAAGGGTTTTCCACTTTCTATTCCCACCCCCACTCCAAACATATCATCGAAAACATATTTCTTGGTGCCATCCAACAATGCCCAACAAGTGTAAACAACTTATTCCAAAGAGAGAATGCAATAGGACAGTGAACAAAGAGATGATCAATACTCTTCTCATCACCTTTGCACATAATACACCAACTAGACAAATCTTAGGTCTTCTTATTTGAAGCACATCTATCAAACTTACCGTGAACAATTATCCATACACAAATTTGCACCTTAAAAGGCACTAGATTCTTATATCACCCTCAAAGGGGAAAACATCGGAATCGAAGGATCATCAATTAAAGACTCAAAAAAGGACTTACAAGAAAAAATACAAGAAGAATCAATAGTCCAAACACTATTAAGCAAAGAAAGAATTTCTACCATCTTTGAACATTCCCTATCATCAAGACTTCTACAAAAATTAAAATCCGAACACAAGAACGAAGAATCATAACGAATTAATGACACAATTTTATAACCATGGAACATCGAAATACGATAAATACGAGGAAAAATATAACACAATGGAGCCTCACCAACCCATAAATATTCCCAAAAACGAACCCTAGTTCCATCACCCACCATGAGCTTAAGTTTCTGAGAGAAAGTTGGTAACCCTTGAGCAATAAACTTCTATGGACTCTGAAAGCTACCTTAATCAACCTCATTAGCATCCCAATCATTATGTTGTAACCTATATTTGCTTCTAATAATGGAACACCACAATGATCCTTGTTCAAAAGAGAATCTCTAAAGCCATTTCCCAACCAAAGCCTCGTTCCTTTTTAACAAATTTTCAATTAAAAAACCACCTTTAGCCCTAGGTCCGGACACAATCTCCCATGAAATCAAATGCTCTTTCTTACCTTCCCCAGATCCCTCCCATAAAAAATTCCTCATCAAGCCCTTCAATTTTCCTACCAACAAAATTTGGTAACCTAAAGATAGACATAAAATAAATAGGAACACCAGGCAAAACAAACTGAGCCAAAGTTAACCAACCTCCCCTAAAAATAAAAGCTTTCTTCCATCCATCTAACCTTTTTTTCAACATTCTCAATGACTGCATCTCAAAAAGACCAAGACATCGGATTACCACCCAAAGGGAGCCCTAGATACTTCAAGGGTCAACCACCCACCAAACAAACCAGACCAAAAGCCAGTTTATCCATCTTATCCTGACTAGTATTAATAACCAAAACACTCTTCTCCATATTAACCTTAAGACTCGATATAACCCCAAAAACCTCAACAATCATTTACAATTGTTTTCCCAATTTTCACATTTTGACAAATGAATTATGATAACTATATAAATTTAAATTATTAGTCTCCTAATTATCATCTATTTGGATATGCAATCGAGTTTTCACAATCGTTATATCTCAAAATTCTCTCTCTACTTGAACAAATGCAATTGGTAAAATTAATAACAAATTGTAAATAAACCAATAGATATATTACGTCTTTTGTAGTCTTAACTATTTCTTTGAGCAAGACCATCAATCAATCCTTTCTATATTTGAAAACTTAATGTTAAAGCATACACCTTTAATATAATTCTCAAGTTGGTCAAAAAGGGCCAAGAGCAAACCTAGTATCACAGTGTTGTTGCCAATTATCTAGAACTTAAATTAAGGTAAGTAGCATCTCCCTAGAGGATAATATATTGCCAGAGAGTCGCCCCATAATCGAAAGTCGCAAAATCAATGATCACCTTTTTCCCTTCTCTCTAGATCACTCATTTTGGTCGAATTAGAATACTCCCGTCAACTAACAAATTCATATTTGAACTTTTTTTAAAATCCAAATGATTTTATAATTGTAATTTATGCCTCGTGATTCTTTTATAGACTATAATATGACCCTATATTTTATTACATAATGATCCTAATTTTTACAAAAAATGAAAATAACCTTATAATATTTGCTGAAAATTATAAAATAACCTTAATTTGACCAAAATTTATTTGGATGTGTCCATAACATGTTCAAAGCGTGTCCAAAAGTTCATAATCATTTAGAAATTTATACCAAATAGTATGAGAAGAAAATAATATATAGTGGGCAAATCTAAATATTCAATTTCTTAAATTATATGAAGGTAATATTTGAAAAAAAAAATAGGGTGGGCTTGTGTGCATGTGCCCACCCTAGGCCTAACCTAGCTCCGCCAGTGTGTGTGTGTCATAGAGAGAGAGAGGAATAGCCTAAAATGAATAAGGCATGTTTACGCTTTATATAACACTAATGAAAATCAAGAAACTAAGACTTTTTATTTTTTAGGAGGAATATTGCAGCATGCCCACTTTTTCCCACGAATAGTGACATTATCTAAAAAAAAAATCCAAGCAGCACACATGTGATCTGGTATTCCTGACCATAGTTACTACAAATTCACTAAACCCTTAATGACTGACAATCTGGGTATATCGATCCCAAACAGGGTGGGTTCACGATCCAAATCACCAAAATGTACAACCCCAATTTGTAATATTAACCTTAAATTAATTCGCTTTAGAACATGTATCACAATTATAAAATATATATTTATTGACTACGTGTATATAAATTTATAATTATATATTCTTTTAGATAATAGAAAATAGAAAATCAAGAACAAATATAAAATAAATGGCAACTGACATAGTGTTTGTGGATGTTATATGATATATAATGTTGTATAATAATGAAAACAATTTACATAAGTGTTCCAAAAAAAATTGCAACCTAAGCACTATACTAACTAAGTCTACCCCTATCATACCACATACCCGTATCACGTACCAAAGTGACCCACGATCCAAGTAACATTGTTCTTGACATGTGGTAGCTGTCACCTCAATGCTAATCCCTCACCAACCTGCGCCATAAATGCTAAATAGATGTTTCCTGCTGTCTTAGCAACGATGAGAAACAACTCAGTTTTACTATTATAAAGGCTGAATTTAGGAGTGTGAACTGATCATGTTACATCCTGGGCGGTGAGGGCCAAAATGGGTAGAGGTTACCAAGTTGATGAAAGCTAATGGCATTGCAAGTTGAGAATGGCATAACACACAAGGAATGCTTGAGCAGAGCATACAAATATATTCGGTTTCTCATAATTGAAGCAGAGAAACAAGGAAAGCAGAAGCAGAAGTTCAAATTATTGTACTGAACCTGTTGTGTGACACTTTCAATATACCTATTCCCCAAAAAAAACCAGGCTATATAAACAAATTTGCCAATCGGAATCAACAAACTGTATTTCCTACCTTAACCACATCCCGAACTTTTGGTTTGTGTCCATATTTTCCCAGGACTGAATCACCATATATTTGGTACTGTGCAAGGACCTAAAAAATCATTGCATATGGATTTAGTAATAAACGGATTATGGTCATGTGCATACTGTAGAGAAGTAACTCATGCACAACCTGACGGCGGGAAAGACCACTGCAAGATGTACCATATACTTCAGTATCAACATGTCCCAAAGTGTACCATGGGCTGCCAAAAGCAAATACTGGTTTTCAGCCAACATGTCAAATAATTACCAACAAGAAGAAATTAAGTATAATATCATTACAAAAAAGAAAAGGAAAGGAAAAGAGAAGAGAAGGTAGAGGCTGAGAAACAATCCCCTCCCCTCTCCCAAAAAAAGGGGGCATTTAAAGCTAGTCTCACATAGGCCATATCTTGATCTTGGATACCGATAGTAAGTATCAGGGCGGCACATAGTTACGGCTGTTTAGGAAAATTATAATTTGTGAATCAATGGATATCAGACAGAAACTAAATGATACATTTTTCCTCCCCAATTTTAACAAGGGCAACTTCAGCTAATGTAGAAGAACTTGTACTCCTCCAGAATGAACCAGACCTTCAAAAAAACATCACTTCATCACTCAATATGTATTTCAATAACAAGCCACAGTAATTAGTAAAATACAATAGAGTTTGTACCACAGACCAACGCCTAAATCTTTACCGAATATCTAGATCATCCTCACTTGTTAAAACCAAAAACCAAGACTTGCCGATAACCACTCCGTGCTGCGTCGTTAACAAAATCTAAGAACTTGTTTCCAAAACATTAGCCAAAACTACTCGAAACTCACACACACCAAGAACCCTCTTCCTCAAGGGGTCAACAATGGTGGAACTACACAAGGACTAAAACCACGCCAAATATAACCTTTCTCTACAAGTCCATCTACATGCCTAGTTAACATATGGGATTGGCCTATCATATAGAAGAGAGAGTATATCCTTAATTGATTGAGTATCAACAAACTCCATATGTTTTAGACTACTAGTTGGTGCATGTGTGCGTTGCACGTCAACTATTTTGACTTTTTGTAAAAAAAAATTTATAAATTGAACCAATTTTCTTTATATTTATATGGAGATGGTTATTGAATTTTATGGGGCTCAATTATCCACTTGTTCCCTTGTTATTGGACGGTTACACAAAATGACACTTCTGACGTGAGATAACTGTTACGCTCAAGATTTTTCTTGTATTTTGGGTTGTATGAACTGAATTGCATAAAGTTAAAAAAAAAAAAAATGAATTGCATTGCATTACATTTAAAAATTATAATTTTTAACTTCAGTAAGTGATTAATAGATGGATGACTACTAATTTTTTGGACTAATAAGAAGTTACTACAGTAGATTATTATTATCTTTTTATCTTTTTAAGGATAATATTATCAATTAAGTTTTTTTGACAAGTATTAACATTCAAAAGTAGTATATAGATTATTAGATCTATTTAAATATTAATTTTTTAGTGAATTTGGATATGCACAACGTACTTACAAGCATATGATGTGATTTGGTGATTATTTAATAAAATTGAGCAAAAATCCATGTGTTAAATGTTAAAATCGTCTCTAATCAATTTATTTGGATCATAAAGGATATCTATTTTCAGGGAGTCATATATGCACTGTGAAAATAAAATTCGTTGGACAATTAAATTGAATTCGGATCACATTGTTCAAATCGAATTTAGATCGAATTTATATTATTTGGAAAGAAGATAATCAAAAGTCAAACAATGAAATTTTTTAGTTGAATTAATGCAACTAATAAAATAAATAAATAATTCCTCAAAAATGGATAAAATATACATTATAGAATTTTTGAAAGATAAATAAGAAAATCAAAAATTTTTCTCTTAAGCCACTTTAAAAAGGATAAAGTAGACATTATAGAATTATTGAAAGATAAATAAACAAATCAAAAAATTTTCACTTAAACCACTTTTATTAGTAGTATAGATATTGTCGAAGATTAGATAATTATTTCCCTAGCACCAATTCAATAGGATGCTGAATATACCTCATAAGAGGCAGCTCATTTGGAAACTCCTCGAGTAACCCATTAACATTCATACACCTTGTCTATCTATGCGCCTAAGGTCAAAGTCCATGCCCAAGAGAATTCATGTATTGGCTTCATACAAAAGATTAGTGTATAGTTTAGGCCTAGTACATAGCGAACGCTAAAAGAAGGGCCGATCTCCCACAAAGTGGATGTTGGGCTTCAAATCCCATCACATACGGCTACCAATCATAAGACCAAATTCATCTTTGTTAAAAATAGCAATTTCACTAGAAAATAAATACAATAACGATATATGAAGGCCAAGAACTATTACGAACGCAAATAGCAAAAATCATCCAGAAATACTTCTTTCAACTTCATATTTATGCTCAAATATTCAAATAACAAATATTTGATGCTTATCAAAACATATACTCCCCAAACAAAACGGATATGGAAGAGTGAGTTCTTCTATCAATTGCAAATTGTTCTCACCTGTTGTAGGCTTCACGTCCCACCATTACCCCATGAGCTCCTTCCCTTCGTGCTGCATTGACCTATTAGTTGAATGCAAATAAAAAAGGGTGAAATGAAAATGCTGCATACACACGATTTGCTAGCTTAACATAAAAGGAACTGCAAATATTAAATCAAGACTACAGGTGGAAAGTAAAAACAAAAAAGAAAACTCAGTTACTCAGCATACATAACAGTGCAGAATAATAATCTACTCTAAAAGTTATAAGAGAAAAAAGATGTTCTTACTGCAAGTATTGTAATCATATTTATGGATCTCAATCTTCAGATTTATTCTTGGATCTTTCCTTTGAAAGAATGTTTGAGGTTAAGATTGTTACAGGTAACAAAGCCCTGTTTGCATCACATAGCAAGATCATCTCCAATTATGGCCTCCTTTAGCAAGTGAGATTTCTGAGTAGTTATTTAACATTTAGGACTTCAAATAGGTTATAATCCCAGTGCAGTCTAACCGATGTGATGGAGAACCCACAAGGATGGAATCTACACATTTGGTACAACCGATTAGTCATTTTAAGAATCTTTAAGATTCATGTGGCATCTCCTTTTCTGAGAAAATTTACTGTTTTCGGATTGAATTGTGGGGCTTATATATTATTTCTGTGTTGGATTGGGTTAATTACAAAAGATACAGTTAGTGTTTGTAGGGTTCTGTATGGTCAATAAATAAACATCTTAGGGGAATAATGTGGAGATTCTTTGAGATGGAAAAATATGAGCCTTGGAACGAGGTTTGTGCTCTCTGTTTCTCTGCCCTTCTAGTTTTATCTACCCCATGTCCCTCCCCCTTCTTCCACATCTATCTATCTATAACGTTTCTCCCATTTTACATGTGTCGCATACTTCTCCCCCCTCCCTCACATCATCTCTTCTTTCTTTTTCTCCTGCATCTTCCTTTTGAGAGGCTTAGAACAACAGTCATATGTCGTCCGTCTCTTCTCCCTAGTCTCCCTCCTCTTCTCGTCTTTGCAATAAGACGCTTGGTAGATGTTTTTGCACCATCCCTCCTTAATTTCTTCTCTTTCTCTTTCTCTTTCTCCGTTTCCCCTTACTATTTCCTCCCTCCTTTTTTCTAAAACTTAAGAGGCCTCAAAGTCGCATTGACACCCTTACTCTCTGGCTTGGTAGATGATTTCTCACCCTCCCCATTGAATTTCTTCTCTTTATCTCTTTCTTCTTTCCCCATTGCTATCTACCTCCCTTGTTCTAATCCTAATCAAGAGGCTTGGAATTCGCACTGCGCCCTTGCTCTCTGATCTTATTTCCTCTCTCTTACTCATTTTCTGCTCTCTTTCTTTATCTTGTAGTAAATATACTCGGAAAGATTACGCCCATCACACATTCATAGGTTAATTCGGGATCCGGGGACCTTGTGACTCAAAAGGTCTCCAAGTGTCATAATGGGTGAAACCAAGCCTTTTCCTCCCTTTTCAGTAGAAAGTAAGAAAGAATCTTTCTGCGCTAAACTTGTCATGTTTCTCCATTTCTGAGTTCAAGGCGGTCTAATTTTCCAAGATTATGAGAGGATTAAAGTGCAGATTTTTTAATGGTTCGATGATTCATCTTCCCCAATTAGATGACTAGCCCAGATGAATCACACTCATTTTAAAATAACCAAGTTTGTAACATAATGCTGCATCCCTGAGAAAGAAAAAAGGAAAATAATAAACCATGTGTGCATAGGACGCTTTGCAAGTAAAGTTATGTGTGGTTATAATTTGTCTACAAATTACGTAGCAAACAGTTTATCATTTTGCAGGATGATCATGTGCAATATGTCCAAAATGAATGACCTCTGAACCAGACCAGAAGAGACTGTTCAGTGTTCACTATTTTGGCATCAATATTTCTTAGTAAATCAGATAGCCAAGGTCAACACATTAGTCTAATTGTTTTANACTCTAAAAGTTATAAGAGAAAAAAGATGTTCTTACTGCAAGTATTGTAATCATATTTATGGATCTCAATCTTCAGATTTATTCTTGGATCTTTCCTTTGAAAGAATGTTTGAGGTTAAGATTGTTACAGGTAACAAAGCCCTGTTTGCATCACATAGCAAGATCATCTCCAATTATGGCCTCCTTTAGCAAGTGAGATTTCTGAGTAGTTATTTAACATTTAGGACTTCAAATAGGTTATAATCCCAGTGCAGTCTAACCGATGTGATGGAGAACCCACAAGGATGGAATCTACACATTTGGTACAACCGATTAGTCATTTTAAGAATCTTTAAGATTCATGTGGCATCTCCTTTTCTGAGAAAATTTACTGTTTTCGGATTGAATTGTGGGGCTTATATATTATTTCTGTGTTGGATTGGGTTAATTACAAAAGATACAGTTAGTGTTTGTAGGGTTCTGTATGGTCAATAAATAAACATCTTAGGGGAATAATGTGGAGATTCTTTGAGATGGAAAAATATGAGCCTTGGAACGAGGTTTGTGCTCTCTGTTTCTCTGCCCTTCTAGTTTTATCTACCCCATGTCCCTCCCCCTTCTTCCACATCTATCTATCTATAACGTTTCTCCCATTTTACATGTGTCGCATACTTCTCCCCCCTCCCTCACATCATCTCTTCTTTCTTTTTCTCCTGCATCTTCCTTTTGAGAGGCTTAGAACAACAGTCATATGTCGTCCGTCTCTTCTCCCTAGTCTCCCTCCTCTTCTCGTCTTTGCAATAAGACGCTTGGTAGATGTTTTTGCACCATCCCTCCTTAATTTCTTCTCTTTCTCTTTCTCTTTCTCCGTTTCCCCTTACTATTTCCTCCCTCCTTTTTTCTAAAACTTAAGAGGCCTCAAAGTCGCATTGACACCCTTACTCTCTGGCTTGGTAGATGATTTCTCACCCTCCCCATTGAATTTCTTCTCTTTATCTCTTTCTTCTTTCCCCATTGCTATCTACCTCCCTTGTTCTAATCCTAATCAAGAGGCTTGGAATTCGCACTGCGCCCTTGCTCTCTGATCTTATTTCCTCTCTCTTACTCATTTTCTGCTCTCTTTCTTTATCTTGTAGTAAATATACTCGGAAAGATTACGCCCATCACACATTCATAGGTTAATTCGGGATCCGGGGACCTTGTGACTCAAAAGGTCTCCAAGTGTCATAATGGGTGAAACCAAGCCTTTTCCTCCCTTTTCAGTAGAAAGTAAGAAAGAATCTTTCTGCGCTAAACTTGTCATGTTTCTCCATTTCTGAGTTCAAGGCGGTCTAATTTTCCAAGATTATGAGAGGATTAAAGTGCAGATTTTTTAATGGTTCGATGATTCATCTTCCCCAATTAGATGACTAGCCCAGATGAATCACACTCATTTTAAAATAACCAAGTTTGTAACATAATGCTGCATCCCTGAGAAAGAAAAAAGGAAAATAATAAACCATGTGTGCATAGGACGCTTTGCAAGTAAAGTTATGTGTGGTTATAATTTGTCTACAAATTACGTAGCAAACAGTTTATCATTTTGCAGGATGATCATGTGCAATATGTCCAAAATGAATGACCTCTGAACCAGACCAGAAGAGACTGTTCAGTGTTCACTATTTTGGCATCAATATTTCTTAGTAAATCAGATAGCCAAGGTCAACACATTAGTCTAATTGTTTTAGCAATATTTTCAAGATGGGCCAACTACCACCCCACCCCCCCAAAAAAAAAAAAACTTCTTCTTCTTCTTTCGGGCCCAAAAAAATATTAAAAACCCTTCTCCCAATCACCAGTGGAAAACTAAATAGGGGAAAAAACAAAGACGGCAGATTAATAAAGGAGAAAAGTAAAATTGCATGATTTCCACCACAGTATAGAAAAAGACTTTGCAAATGTTTGGCAAACAAGAAACAAGAATTATGGTCGATAATTTTCAGAAACCGTAGAAATTTAAGCATCTTGCAAATTTAAAAATTGATGCGATGGGCAGACTTATGGCACAATCCAAATTAACTTTACAGTTAAAAATTATATTAGCTGCGCAAGCAATAATATCTTCTCATTTTTAGTGCTTATTACCATGTACTACGCACACCATTTGAATATCTGGGACTAAGCCCCAGAAGACTCATCAGGTATGCCAGATCAAATTGACACTTACCTCATTAACTGTCTTTATGCCTCCATTAATTGTAAACCTTAAGTAGGGGAAGTCACGCAAGAGGGCGAAGTAGTACTCATATCTGCAAATTGAAACTGTCAATTGCACATAGCAAGACACTAATGGCCTGTTTGGTACAAAGGAAAATAGGGAGGATGGAAAGAAAGTGTGGAAAATGGAATGGGTAGGACAAAGTTTCCGCTGCTTGGTATGGAGAGAAAATTGGAGGGAGAGGAAAGTTGGGAGGAATTTCTTTTCCTCCAATTATGGGTGGCAAATGTGAGAGAAAGATGGGACTTTTGGGCAAGATGGAGCTTTACCATTTTACCCTTGTATTTCACATGCAACAAATAAGGGCCCAATCTGAATGATACAAGCTCCGAAATTTCCAGAAGGGAGATACATTCAAAATGGTGTGTTTATATCAAATATGAGGTTGTCTACACTGCCACGTGGTGGGTAGTATAGAAAAATGTTGTTGGTGGCCATGTGTAGTCGAGTTGGCAGTAAGAAGTTTTTGCCATTTGAGTTACGTATGTATAAAGTTCCACATAGCGGAGGGATAGAATTGTAAGTTTAATTTTCCTTCCACTTTTCTTTCAACACTAAACAACATAACATTTATTCTCTCTACTTTCCATTCATCATACCAAACAAGAAGGAATGAAAGTCTATTTCTGTCCTCAATGGATGGAGAGTTGATTTCTTATAATTTTCTTTCCTTTCATTTTGTCTATCCTGCTTACCAAACAGACCATAAAAGATTCTCTCTGATTAAGAACACATGTCCTTAATTTAACTGACAATGGTTAATGAAAAAATGATATACGAACAAAATACATACTTTAAGGGAGGAATTTTTCGATTGTCGGCAGGGCTAATTCCATTCAGCAATGCCTTTCGGGAGTGTATAATGAAATGCCTAGTTGGTGACTGAGAAGAGACCGTATAAATGAAATCACCTGCAAAGAGAAAAAGGTAAAAATAAATTAATCAGGACAAATCCCAGCAACAATTGCATGCAATATCCCGAGAATAAATCAGCAGGTTCAGCACCTAATATACTCTTAGTTAAGCAGGGACAAACAATTTTTGCTGGAAAAGGAGCCTCCAACCATACAAAACGTTTTTCCAGTCCCAAAAGAGACAAAAACAAAAAAAAATCAAAATTTCATATCCTCTATGCCATCACTCATGACCAACTTTGTGAAGCAAATCGAAAGAATCATATGTCACCATGATCTTCAACAGAAGCAAGTGTTTCCAGTCTATTCCACAAACTATCAAAGCAAGAATGTTTCCATTCCTTTATATTCAGACGTAAATACATGTTTATATGCTTACTTTTGATTGACACTAATGCATATATCTTAAGGGTCTGCCACTTTCTCTTTGGGCATAAAAATTTTGGCCTTTTGGGTGTTCGCAATTGAAGATAATAAGGTTCCTGGGAATTATATTCACCGATCTACAGAGTATAGCAATGCCTCTCAATCCATATAATTGATGATCATAGTTTTTGCCTCTTTTTCTCCTCGTGTATCTGCTTTCTGTAAATCACCACTCCTAGTAGCACACCACACTAGGATTTCTATTATATGTCCATATATGGGGCAATAGGATATTGTACAATCTTCTTCTTTCTTTATCCAGTACACCATAACAGATCAACTCTTAAAAGTATAACCAGTGTTTACCATAGTAAACATTTATAAAAAATGAAAATTCAATGCCTAGTTAAAAAAAATTCATTCCAAAAAGGAATTCATCTATTTTACCCATAAATAAAAGTACACAACTGCAATTTGGGTTGGGGACAAAAGAAGAAATCAGACAGATTCTAAATAATAAAATAATTAGCACTTAATCTCTCAATTTTGAGGTCACCAACTGATTTTTTTATGCTTCATTTGACTGATAGAGGTTAACAACTAAAGCACCAACTTGCTCAACACATGTACACAAGGAGTATACACAAGGCAAAAACAAACAAAACAAGAAACCTATACTAAACACAAAGGGATACCCAGCAGGCCAGCCCCCTAAAAGCTACATGCTTCCCTGAAAATCCAAAAAGATTTCAAAGAAAAAGAGCATTTCTGAGAACCACCAAACAAGAAGCCTCAGGAAATTTCTATGTATCAATGAATTTAGATCTCCTAAAAAATTTGCGGTTTGTTAAATCTGTGGAAGTAACAACAAACACTATGACCAGCAAAACAGCTCTTCCATTATGTATGCTAGCAGGCTAGCAGCTAAGAACAACGACATGGTTCCATTATTCGATCTCCCTTTACACATGAGAAAGGAAAGAACTATAATGTTAGAGGTATGCAATGTGCATCCAACTCCTCTGGGAATATGTGTATTGGAAGGTAAAAAAATACAACAGGTAAATAAGGGGAATATATGAATATGAGGAGAGAAACAATAGAGTTCAATGATAGCAGACATATGTTTCAAGCAGCTCCCAGAGTAAAATCTTCATTTGCTTCCCTGTTTAGATTTCAGCTTATAACATTTCTGAAAGGATTACATCTTCTTGTTAATTTCACAATAATTCAATAAGAGTTTCTTCATCATGCATAAGACATTACGTGGAGTCTAGACAGTCAGGTGGAGATGAGGTTGACAGGTAGTTGCTTAACAATGAGGATAATCCTGTTTGGAGGTATTTCAAGACAACAGTTCACAGCAATCACAATAGTTCCACGATTATTGAACCTTTTGGAATTGCCAACATTAGTGTCCTTATTGTTGTTCTAAAAGAAGTGAGGCACCAAAATTTGTTTAGTATTCACAGTAGAGATTAAGAACCATCGTTGTCACGATCAAATGCATTATGATTTGCAAGGAGGTCCATGAAGCAAAGCTCCTCTAATTTATGAAAAGAGTAGCAAATTAGGAAGACCAGATGTTCCCTAGAAGGACTGCTTATACATTGATGACGTTTGCTGGCAACTTGAGGCCAACTATATTTTCTCTGCATCTTTTGTGATTTCATGATATGATATTTTGCCTTTCTTGGTTGGTGCTTTCCTTTTTATGGCAAAAGCTCCTTGTATTTCTCTTAAAATTACAAATATAACACTATTCACTTAGCAATCTACAAAGTACCATTTTAATTCACACCCCATTATGAACAACTCAAGTTCATATCATTTGAATATCCATGAAATGATGTCACTATACAAAGATCCACCGTGGGGCACCAAAAAATGAGGACAAAGCCCTGAAAACCTTCTATTTTCTTGTACATAGACCAACTTTACATCATTTGTGCCAATCGTTCTGAATCCTTTATGACTTATATAAATTGGATAAGTACCATCATTTATTTTGGAAGAAATAAAAATTAAAGGCTACACTTCCACAGAAAATTATGCGCAGCAGAAAAGGAATGAGTATGCAAGTTTTCAGAGGCAAACTGAAAGAATACAGAAAATACAGACATTTTATGAAGAGCAATATAAAATAAATAACAGGAAAAACTTCAAGTGTTAAACTACAGTCTGTATCATGTAAACTTCTCAAGGAATACAAGAATTTTGTAAATAAAAAGTAAGTTGTATCTGCAGCCTTAAACAGATTAACAGAGAAAGTAAATAAAAAACTCACAGAGCTCATTATATGAATCGTGGTCATCAACACCAATACGACATTTAACACTGACAGGAATGTCTGTGTTGACGGCAATGACTGACATTGCATCAGCAGTAAACTTTCCTTGTACAAAACACATGCCTATATCAGCACACACTGGCAAACACTAGCCTATAGAATGTTTACTTAACAATGTAAGCCAGCACAGTCACTCAAACCTTTGGATCAAGCATAAGCCGTACACCAAAACACCCATGTCCAGCTACCTTTGGGCTAGGGCATCCACAACTGGTAGATGAACAAGTTCTCAGTTCAGTGGTGAGAAAGAAGTAGGAAATCTAAGATGATGTTTAATAACAGAACAAACTTGAAATTAATTTCATCATAGCCATAAGCATTAGCAAGTTGCGTTGCTTTAGCTAGGTTATCCAGATTACTTCCCCCAATCTGAAGCACTATAGGGTGTTGTTCTGGAGTATATGCCAAAAATCTGTCCTGATCAAACCAAACAAAAATGAAGTCAGAATTCTCTAGAAATAGAACTATCAGATAAATCAAAACCCAACCCATTGCTAAAAGCAGATAATGGGTGACGAGATAGTAATTCTGATACCATTCCATTACGAACACAATTAAATTGTTGCAAATATAAATCTAGAAATTCTACTCTTAACAAATAAAAGGTAGCAACCATAAACCAGTTACAGGAACCACATATCAAATGGATTCTACTCAACTTAACATGTTGGTGGGCTTTCCGTTCAAGGTCCAATATACTCCAAACCACCTAAAGAAATTTTTAGCAGATTTGATGACCCTGCAGAAGTGGTAGAATTTCCATTAAACTACTTCAGATCATGCCTTATTTTTCAGAAAATACCAAATAAGGGACTGGAAAAAATATCACCAACTATGGTGGACAGATTTTTTAGATTTTTTTTTTATTTTTCCCATAAAGAAGCATGAAACATCTCAATCACAGCTTGGAATGGAACAGCAAACCCAACACCAATCATGGTTAAAAAACAACCCCAATACCAATCATATTGGTAAAGTACATCACATGACTCTGGTAAAAAAAACGTAAACTAAAGACCCTCTTGTTGCTATGATCAATCAAACAACATAACCAACAGCATTGCCAAGGTGAACTTTCAGTGTAATTATTGCAACAGGGAGCACAATAGGGAGAAATTATACTTCGACATGTATTGGAACCTAGGCTTCTTGGAGGGAATCAAAGGAAAAACCTCACAGAAGGGTGCCAAAGAAAAAACTCATCAGTCGGCAAAAGTAATGTAGCTACTTGAAAATAAGACCACAAACCTAATAACAGTACAGGCTGACCACTAGACTGACTTGACCTCAACCATACATTACAACATCAAATAAGGAAACCGAGAAATAATTATGCACGCACCTCAGAATAACTGTTACAATACGGTGAACAGCGTAGCACAAGAATAATGCTACACTACTCGGGGAAGAGTACCAGCACTTGGCCTCAGCAACTAAAAAGATAACAAATAAAAAATAAAAAACACAAAAAAATGAGCTTGCTTCCACAATCATGCTTCTACTGTTGCATCTAGTCCTCTCTATCATAAGAATTTAATAATGAACAAATAATTTTGTCCTCGTACCTTGTTTTCAACAGCAAAAAAATATTGAGGATATGACAAGACCCCCGTCCCCTCCCAAAAAAAAATAAAAAATAAAAGCATAGGGTTTTCTTTTGAAACATACTCCATGGCCACGTTTCAACAATCCCATTGTTGTGAAAGCGCTCCACATTCCATAAAGCCTTCCCAAATTAATTTGAACTTCATTGTTTACATCATAAGATTTGTTCGAAATCAGTAACAATGGTTGAATTTAATCTCTCAAGACATTCATCAAATACTTGTGAGGTACTATGATTAATGCCTATGACCTTAACGAATGCCTAAGAAATCAATCTCCCGCACATCACCATCATCAGGGTAGACCACAGAGACGGCCAGAGAATATCAACCCTTCAGACTATCATCTCCAGTATCAAAACAGTTCCTTCTTCTTCATAACTTCCATTCGCTTGTCCGATGATTAGTGGATGCCTCCTAAAATCCTCACATGAGCTTCAACTTTGCCTTTCAGTATGGCTATTAATCCCCGTGTTACACCTCCAACTGCTGTTTGATCTCCTTTACTTCGGCTCTCCTATTTATCACCAAATTATGGACCGTCTTCGGCCCTATTACAAAACTACAGTTGGAGTGCAAGAAAACAAAATCATAGTTCAATCTATATTGAAGCCCAAGTTTCTAAGTGGGAAACAAAGGAAAAACCTCAAAATAGTGTTCTAACCTAGTGGATTCTGGTGTTCAAAAAGGAACACCATAGGTGAAGGCAAATTCATTATGCACTAAACTGGTCACACAACTCACAAGCTCAGTTTATAAGAAAGTAAGATTTTAACCTCAGTAAGAGTAAATCCCAGCAATCAAGTTACTCCAACCTCGTAACCTTAAAAAAGTAGCGAGAGAAATAGTGATTTAACTCCAAAATAATACTTGTTCATGAATGTTAAGCTGCAGAACTAATACTACTACAGTATGCTAGCTATAGTATCACCAGAGTATCTGATATATCTGTGGTACCAAATAGTACAATTGCACTTCTGCAAATAATTGCTCCAATTAGTCCTGCATCAATCAGTCCGAATTATGACCCACACCATCGACAGCCACGTGGTCCTTTCTAGTTGATCTCATTCTTTTATCACACAAACTCAAATATAACTTCAGTCTACCTCCACCCAGAACCAAGCATATTAAGAACTCTATTGATGCATTGTCCAAAGCGCTGAGGACCAAATATCTTTATTTCGCAACATCATTGCGGAAGTCATGCTAACAAATGTGGGAATGAGTTCGCTCCTATGGGAGAGACTCCCATTCATAAGGTCTCCAAGCAACTATCACTCAACTCTACTCAGCATTCGATCAGTGCTTAACCATTTGGAACGTGGCTTTTTTCCTTCCTTTAGTGTTATCTGGCTAGTTGCTCCTCACTTTGGCAATTTGTCTATTGGTTGACCTTTTTAGCCACTGACTTGCCTTTGCTGCCTTGGCATTTTCAATAGTAACAATGCTACTAAAGCTTCCTGGCATAGATCAAATGATTTAATCGCTTGCATACCTACACATAGGCAGATAATACCACTACAAGTTCAACCAAAAAATGTCCACATCATGTTGTCCACTTGTAGCATTTATATAGAGCTAAACAATCTACTACTAATTGGATTTTATGGTAAGAGTAGCTTTAAGTAACAAAGGTCATGCAAAAAACAAGATGGCAATAGCCAAGAAATGTTTGAAAATCATGATCACATTTGCTTAGTTGACCTATTATTACTGAACTCTCTTTCCCTCACAGACCTTCAGAAGACAGATTTGCACAAACTTACCAAATCTCCCTTCTGATGAACAATTGTTTCTGCAGCAATCATTTCTGTATAGAGCCATGCATGCTTTGAAATGAGCCGGGCCAAAGTTCTAAAATGGTTATCTGTCCAATCCATCATTGGAGCAACACTGCAAATCAAGCCATGGCAGTTAATACAGGTCATAAAATCAATACAACTCTAATCTGGTAAAAAATAAAAATAATTTCTGAAGACACTCACCTGAACCAAGGAGGAAGATAGTGCCCAACAACCCTCTTAGAATTTGTATGTGATTGATGCTTCTGGTGGTAAGCATATAGTTTCCTCGATTTAGTTGAATTCACACAAAATGAATGTGATGAAAATCTGCCATGGTTTTTTAGGATAATAGGATGAATAGGAGTAAAAGAAGCAAATAAAGTATGTCCGGCAGACTTCATCATCCTTCAAATTAGACTGTAGCCCGTTCCTTTATGTACCTGTCATTTGGATGAAACTAACATCACACAGATGACATGGTTTGCATCTATATATATGGTTAAATTATGTTGCCTACATGGATGATTAACTTCATGCCAATAATATATCAGAAGACATTGTCCAGGGACAGATGGTTTAACCTTAGTTAACCATAAGGATCAATGAAAAAGAAATCCCAGTGGTGTTTCATGCTTGTCTTTCGATAAATTCAGTTGCCTTTATTGTTGGCTTCAACTCTTGGATTCCATTTTCCTTCCTCAGTTCTGAATAATTTGATCTGCAAAGGTATGCAACCTACCAATCCCCTTCACCAGCTGAGACGAAGGTCAAGAGTGTTGGATTATGATTTTCCCACCACGAGAAGTTCAAGTTACCAGAAAAAGTCATCTAAAATTGAAATAAAAACAATACCAACAGCAATTATTAATGAACTGTCTAATATTCCAGTACCAAAACAATTTATAGAAATAGACTAATATATGAATTCCATAGCTGTTAACTCCATTTCACAGATGTCCCAAAAGATGAAGATGCATTCTTAATACAGGGTTTAACTTGCATCAAGTTCCAACTACCCAAAAAAAACTTAGTGCCAGTTTTGGCATTAAGGCAAAGTATAGGTCATAAATCATGTTAGAAAATGCCCAATAATTGGTGTTTTCATAAATCAACAACAACAGTTCTATACATTAAATGATAATAATCCTCTCTTTCTCTGCTGTAAAGCATCATAGTTTCTTTAAAATTTGAGACAAGCACTTGTCCACGATATTGATCGGACTCATTTCAATCTAAATCATGTTAGCGAATTCATCAACAGATTTTCTGAAAAATGTCTACAGTAATGTAGTTGAGTAACTACATAGCCTCAATGATACACGAATTTGTCCTGATATTATTTTTCGAGCCAAAACAAACAACTATTGGCAAAATAAGACACGCTGAAAACATTTAGCTGTTTTACATGAAACCAACACAATCCATTCAAAGATCTTACCAAAGCAGCTAAATTTCAACTCAAAAATTCTTTGAAATCTTACTTTACTATTAGTAAAGTACGTAAGTCGTTCTTATGAAGTTAAAAAAAAAAAAATCACATGATCCAACTTTCATAAGAGGTTACAATTGCAAGACTAGAGACAAGTCACGAAATCAACTACCCTACAGAAGAATCCAATCAACCCATAATTCAACACTACATAGCAATAATGCGCCATTTTTTAAAGACATTAACATTACCCACATAAAAAAAGTTTTGAGTTTTGTGGCTTTGGCAGCATTAAATCAACAGCCTTCTTTACTTCATCCTCAGCCTAAGTGTGCATGCACTTGGTAAATGCAGGATACACATTGCAGAGTTATTTACCCTCATTTTAAACATTGCAAATCCTTCACATTTTCTGGATAATCAATGAAGGATACATAATCCTCTTTAATGAGGAATGCACCTAAAGATGAGGATGAATCAAAAAAGGCCGTGGATTTACCGATACATTATGGCTTATGTGATTGTTACTTTAGTATTTATCACTAGTCAGCAGACAGTAATTCATGAGAGAAGTAGGACAATACTTGACTATAAACAATCAAGAAAAAAGTTATTTCGATTCAACAGGAAAGTATTTCCAGGGAATATCTTTACCAGGAAAACAAAAAGAATTTCACTCCCAACGAACTCTTCAATCAAAAAGATTAGACCGCAAAATACAGGAAAAAAGAGGGTTCAAAAAGAGGGGGGGGGGGGGGGCAACAAAATATTTTCCAAGAAAATAAATAAAATTTATTCGCAAAGAAAATCTTTAATCACAAAGATTAGGGCGCAAAACGCAGAAGA